TTGAACTATCAGTTCTAAAGCACTCATATTCGTCGATACATATTCCAGAACTATCTATAATTTTGGTTATATGTGTTTCGGAAATACAAATAATCTCAGGTTTCATGTTCAAAACCAAAAAATTATTCTGGTCAAAATTAGCATACGTGCTACCTGAATTTAAATATAAAAAATTACACATATTTCTATCACCCTTAAAAGCTAATCTATTTCTATTGTAGCTAGGTCGGGGTCTTAAAAATGACCCTGCTTTAATACAGGTTGGGACTTTTCTAATCTATGCAGATTAACATTCATGTCAGAATGTGTGTCAGTTATAAAACAGTCAGAAACATTATTCATGCCGCAACACTCTATACTACTTGACAGAGAGCTGTCAGCATCAGTATGATAAGTTTTAGCAGGTCTAACTGTAGGATCAATAAGTACTATACCAATAGGTTTCAACAAATAGCTACATAAGATAATATACTGTTTTATAAGCCTACACATATTATTTTTGCTTAGCCTATACTTTCCTCCATATTTAAAATTTTCAAAAATTCTCACTGAGACATTGTTGTTTCTAATAAAAGAACTGCAGTACCTATACAATCGCCTGTATAGGCCCTTAGTTTGTTGGTGTTCTGAGGTAATGAATCATAATTTAAACAAAGAATAAGATTAGTATATCGTCCAATTGATAAAATATTTTTTAGAGCACTCACCTTGAATTTAATTACATTTTTTATAATCAATGATACAATAACACAATCTTTATGACCACCACAAAGAGAAAAACCAAATGAGCTCTTAACAATTTCATTTATTGTGGCCATAGGCATGATTACACCAGTGACTTGAAAACAATCGTCCATCAATGATTTTATAGATACTGGCCAGTTCCTCGCAGATTCATCTCCACAAATCAAAACACGCTTTTGCTCATTAGGTAAAGATGTTCTAGGACCACACACCCTCTGGTCAATCCCATTTTTAGGATCCTGATCTGTACAGACCTTGGTGTCCCAATTTTCAAAATGTTCAATGCATCCTGAAGAATGAGTTGAAACATATTCAACACTATTACCGTTCATATGGTCACACAGCTCACTTTTCAGATCTTCAATCTCCCGAGTATACATTTTATTCTCCGTACAAAGTACCTCAATGCTTGTTAGTAGCTACAATTTCAATTTTTCAAGCTCCAATAAATCTGCTTTTAATTTTTCATTGGAAAGCTGTAAAAAAAGTAGTGTGGTATCACCATCGGTTTGAGATGATGTGCCTTGACCAAACATTTGAACTACAGCCTGAGTTTGTTTAAATTTTTGCAAAACACAAGTCTGAGTCTCAATATTCACAAAAGTTGCTTTATTTGCCTCTAGATCTTTATATTGTTTTAGCTGTTCATTAAGTTCTTCATTACTTTGTTTAAGTTTTTCAATCTCCTTGACGTATTCTTCTTCACTTGTTTGGGCATCATTGTAAAATACTTCAGAATTGCGTTTTAGACGTTTAATGTGCTTGTTTTTTTCCATTACTTCTACCTGCATTTCTTGTATTATTGATCTTAAGTCTTTAATAGTTTGATGATCGTCCTCGTTTTCAACTCCATAACCCTTGTCAATGCATTCCTTGGGAACACCAGATAAGGTTCTCATTTATAACTCCAAATTTATTTGAACAATTGAACGTTGTCGCCATTTTCCGTGCAAATTAAAACATCAACGCAATATTTATAAATTTTTGGCAGCCGATCCTGACCATCAGATGCTTATTATTTATCGAATTATTTATTTATCAGTCAGTCCGATAAAAAAGAATGCAATTTTGATCAAACTGATAAGAACTGTCGTTTAATTTATCAACTGTATTATGATAAAATATGTGAATGGTTTTTAAGGCATTATTGCGTCTATTCAGCACTTATACAATTTATTTTAAAATCACTAAATAGTACACTTTTCAACGAACAGCACGATACTAAACACTATAATTAATTGTCAATTTAACCATAATTAAAACAATGTTTGTTGTGTGACATACAATGATATGCTAATTTGGAAATGTAATGAAAAGTGGAGATTTGGATCAAAATTACCTATCACGTCTGCCACACTTGTGAAGGTAATTTAAACAAAAATGAGTAGAAGGAAGCTGAACGGCGGAAACCCTAGGTTAGTATAAAGTGCCATATTACTAATTTCAAAATGTCGCCAAAATCGGACATGTGGATCAACGACCTCCCGTCTGCCAAATCAAATTTATGTAACATTTACGATGTATGAGATCAATAAGGAATTAGCAGAAAATCTCGGCTGTTATAATAATATTTAACAATTTTTGAAGTAGGTATCAAAATGCTGGGATGTTGAAACAATTTTCTCCCATCTGCCATTTGGAAGATAAGTTTGACATGCAAAGTAAACTCCAAGAAATGTATTGGCCGATGTATCCAAGGTATATTAACAATTGGCAGAAACAATGAAAATGTCGAAATTTTTCAAAATTGAGATCAATTTTTTCCCATTTGCCAATAATTTATATTAAATTAGCTACTACTAAAAGCTTGAATTCCGACTGGCAGAAATTGCAGGCTGATACAAGTTCTTATAAATTGATGAACAAGATTGGAGCAAAAATTGTTCATATCATGAACGTTTTTAACCCGTCTGCCGTTTGTTTCAGTAAAATGTAGGTATGAGAATATGCATATTCTCAATATGACAGAAACCGCAATGAGCTACATACGTTGCACAATTATTGTTGAATTACGAAAAATGTTTTTCCTACAGCCGTGCGGAAAAATCGATTTTCCGCACTAATATGCGTGTGGAAAATGAGTTTTCCCGCACGGTGCGGTAAAACTTTTTTTTTGACATATCAGTGCGGAAAAAGTTTTTCCGCACGGCTGTCAGTGCGGAAAAAATTTTACCGCACTGATATGTCAAAAAAAAAAAAAGAAAATTTTTACATTTTTTCGCCTGTAGGAAAAATATTGTACCTAACACTTGCGGAAAATATTTTTCATTTTCCGCACTTGTTAGGTAAATAGCTATATTATGTGTCCAAACAATTTTCTCCCGTCTGACAACCGATTAATTAAAATTAAAGTTGCTCTTAAGACAACTAAATATGATAAGGAAGAACAATGAAAAATTGTATCTTCAGAACAAAAAAATGTTTTAATCATCAACATCATCAAAAACAGCATCATCATTATCGTTTTCATTGTCATCTATCATCTATCACTTCTGAGTCACTTCCATCACAACTGATGTCACCTTTTCCATTATCATCATTATTATTGCCGTCATCCAAATCTGATGCATCGCCAAAATCTTCGTTTTCATTAATTTCTTCTTCACTTTCATCCCCATCAGAAAAACCTATATTTGATTATTTAATGTAACTTCAATTATAGAGATATTATTTCGATTCGACGTGGAGCACAGCTTGACAATCTTCAACATCGAATGACGTACCGGTGGCACTGATGGCCGGGATGCGCAAGATCGATTTTCTCATTCCGATATTCATATCGATGTTTTTTTTTTTTTAATTAAATATTATTAGTGAACATCGATATTTTTCCCAAAAATCTAATGGGGTGTTGCACCGACACAAAATCCAAGTCTAAACGCAAAACTGGAGTTTTCACATTAGTTTGTCACAACAAATTGATCTCAAAAATCGGGTGTTGCGTTAAACGTAGATTAAATTGTGTTGGTGCAACATTCCATTAATGTGTGATTTGTGTTGAAAAAAAGTTACCTATAACTTGTATGTGAGATTTCAAACATTTGTACGTAAGCAGTAATTTTGCCTTTTGATAGGTATTCAGTTATTTTGATAGTAACTCTACTCAATTAAGTTGGCAGACGGGAGAAAATTGCAATTTAACAACCATATGTGCAACTAATGTAACTTATTGCGGTTTCTGCCATATTGAAAATACGCATATTCTCATAACTACATTTCACTTAACCAAATGCCAGACGGGTTAAAAACGTTCATCAACAATTTTTGTCGCAATTTTGTTCATTGTTTGCAGTCTGCAATCTCTGTCAGTCAAAACTTAAGCTTTTGGTAGCAACATATTTAATATAAATTGATGGCTGACGGGAAATAATTGATCCCAACCTTGAAAAATTTAGTCACTGGAAACACAATAACAGTCAATGGAAACACAATTGCCAGTTTGAAACCTGTTTTGAACCAATGTCAAAAAAGTGGACGCGAGAAAACGGCTTAGATTTTTTTTAGTGTTTCAATTCAAATTAAAAATACTATACCACTTCAATTTTTCTGCCGGTGCAAAAGTACATTATTTATCTAAAATCCATTATAACAAAACATGTTTTAGGCGAGTTACATTGTAGCCACAAAGTATACCCATCACGAATCCCATGGAACCTGCCGACGCAAGATCTTTCCCATCGCCGGCACGTGGACCACCCCAGCACAAATTAAAATATAATTGTACCTTAGTTTAAGATTAATATTCATTCCATATTGTTTTGCTCTCGAGATAGCTTGTAACTTTTGAAAATAAAACTTTTTAAAAACAGACTTTTTTCGGTGATCGACGTAATTGGCGCAGTCGGGAACGGATAGTACAGTGCAGTTTCGCATCGAGTCGAAAATTACCGGTGGTTTCAACCCCTAAAGTGCTATCCAGAACCTTCGATTAACCGCGAACATCCAAGAACTATCCAGGCGAGCAGTTGGAATCGAGAAAGGACGAAGAAAGACAGAAATCTGTAAGTGCTTTGTATTCCCTTTTGCCCCTTCTAAACCCTTTGTTTGAGGATTTCTTATAGGGATAGTTAGGTCAGTGTATCGTACACAAAATAATTTTAATTTCAGTCTATTGGAGACAAATAGGTTATTAATAATTTTAATTTCAGTCTATTGGAGACAAGTAGGCTATTTTAAATTTTTAATTATTGATTTCTGAATTTAGATTATTCAGTTTAATCTAAAAATAAACAGTTTTATTAAAGAATTATTCATTTATGGTAGACACAGATATTCTTGTAAGAGATCTTCTAAATAGCTTGCCAACACTCTCTGATTCAGAGTCAGATACAGAAGTAACTAATATGTCTGAATTCAAATACGATATGTTTAAATCTAGATTAGACAACATAAAGCCATATGACGGCGATGTAAATCAACTAAATAAATTTTTGAGTAGATGTGAAAATTTTATCCAAAAATATAATACTTTTAATGATGCTGAATTAAAACTTCACGTTTTTCAATGTATCCAAGAAAAGCTAATTGACAAAGCCGAAATTATGGTTGGCCGACGAATGGAATTAGATACTTGGGATAAATTGAAAAATGCTTTAATACAATGTTTTTCTGATAGAAGAGATATTGATTCCTCTTTCAAGAACTGGCACGAGTGCGACCTTTCAAAGGTGAAAATTTAATCAGTTTTGGTAACAGGTTGCAATTACTTGTTATTCAACGCATCAGTAACGATCAAAACTTGAATGCGTTACAAAAAACTTGTCAAATTGATCACTACAATAAAACCGCTCTAAATAGTTTTATAGCTGGTTGTGCTGGCAACTTGCGAAACAATATGTACCTAAAGAAACCCACAAGCCTAGAAGATGCAATCGCATATGTAACTGAATTTGAAAATTTTGAAAAGTTATACGGTAACTTTCACGATTTTCAAAGTAAGCCAAAACCAAATATTGTTATGCCTCGGAACAATAATAATTATAATAATTATTCAGGTCATAATTACCACAAACATTTAATCAAAGTTCACCCCAAAATCAACAATTTTTCCGACCACAAACATTCAATCAAAATTTTACACCAAAACCATCATGGCCCTCTCAACCTATAAATATTCAGCCTAGGCAAATGCCACCGCAACGGTTCCCTACAAACAGTCAAGTATTCGGTCCTCCACGAAATGTCTTCAAGCCGAATCAAATTCCAACAAACCAATTGCCTAAACCAGAACCAATGTCAACAACTTCGAGAAACCCTTCGTTCAGAACAAACAGAACTAACTTCGATAATCGAAAACCTCCAAATTTCACTTTCGAAGAATTATATAATAAAGAAATCGACGAGACTGAAGAAAAGTTCACCTCCAATTATGAAAATTTCTATGGAGAACCTTCATTCGATAACTATGATCCTTCTTTTAATAACTTTGACCCTTATTATAATACCAGTGAGAATATTACTCCTGAAAATGCAAATGAAGAAAATTTTACAGAAAATGTAGATTTTCCGGAAGCAAGCCTAGACAATCCCACGACCTAATCGAAATAAATATTGCTTCAAACAACGCATTACCATTCATTCAAATTGAAAACCCCAACGTAAAATTGTTAATTGACACCGGCAGTACACGTTCAATATTGAACCCTGCCATAGCAGAAACCTTTTATCCACAGTGTATGCACACAATGTCATAAAAACAGCTATAGGAAGTCGATGTGCAAACTTTCGAGCTTTAATTCCTATATTTTCAGATTCTGGCATTGATAGTAAACTAGATTTTATCTTTTTTGATTTTCATGACTTCTTTGATGGTATAATAGGCATTAATGACCTAATGAAATTGAATGTAAATATTGATCTTACAAATAAAAGATTAATTGGTCCTAATCTAGAAATACCCTTCAACTATAGAAAAGCTGATGAGGTCAACTTTTCCTTTTCTGTGAGCCCACAAGAAAAAGTTGTGAAAAATCTACCCGTTAGCATTTATGAAGGTGAAATTTTAACAAAACCTTGTAAAGTTAATAACTTATACATTCCCCAAATTTTAACAATTGCCAAAAATAGATTTGCACCAATAGAAATCGAAAATCAAACTGATAGAACTATTAGCATCACCATGGATCAACCTTTACTCGTGGATTCGTTCGATTCAAACCTTCACGAAATTTATTCAATGGATCATTTCCATACTTCTATCCAAAAATCTAATTTCCCACATAATAATGAAAACATCAATCCCTTACTGAGAACTGAACACCTCAATTGCGAAGAAAAATCCTTATTATCTAAATTGTGTAATAAATATTCGGATATATTCTTAAAACCAGGCAATAAACTCACATTCACCTCTAAAAGAAAACATGACATTAAAACAACCGACGACATCCCGATTCATACGAAAACATATCGTTTTCCTTACGTACACAAAGATGAAGTGCAAAGACAAATAAACGATATGTTAGATCCTGTCCATCCTGTAGTCCGTGGTCAAGTCCAATTTGGATTGTGCCAAAGAAAATGGACGCTTCGGGTAAAGTTAAATGGAGAATTATTTGCGATTATAGAAATCTAAATGCTAAAACAATTAATGATAAATATCCAATTCCCAACATAAACGACATCCTAGACAGGTTAGGTAGAGCTCAATATTTTTTGACGCTCGATCTAGCTAGTGGCTTTCATCAAATCGAAATAGAAAAAGATTCTATTGAAAAAACTGCCTTCACAGTTGATAATGGACATTATGAATACCTTCGAATGCCCTTCGGTCTAAAAAATGCCCCCTCCACATTCCAGAGAGTTATGGATGAAGTCCTAAAAGAACTCCAAAACAAAATCTGTATGGTCTATATGGACGATATAATTATTTTCAGTACAGGATTGCAAGAATACATTCAAAATTTAGAATTAGTATTTTCCAAATTAAGAGAAGCAAACTTCAAAATACAACTTGACAAAAGTGAATTTCTAAGAAAAGAAGTTGAATTTTTAGGTCATGTTGTCACAAAAAATGGTATCAAACCAACAAAAAATTGAAACTTTTAGGTTATTATCGCAGATTCATAGAAAATTTCGCGAAAATAACAAAACCTATGACCAAATAAAATGCTTGAAAAAGAACGCAAAGGTTGAACACACTAAAGAATTTCTAGAATGTTTCGACACATGCAAGAAAATTCTAACATCAGAACCCGTACTAGCCTACCCCGATTTCTCTAAACCATTCGAATTAACAACAGATGCTTCCAAATTCGCTATAGGAGGTATCCTGTCCCAAGACAATCATCCTATATGTTACGCTTCCCGGACATTGAACCCGGCTGAAATAAATTACTCAACGATAGAAAAAGGACTCCTAGCTATCGTATGGAGCTGTAAATATTTCAGACCCTATTTATTTGGTCGTAAATTCATCATTCTTACTGATCATAGACTACTTCAATGGTTGTTTTCAGTGAAACAACCAGAAACCCGTCTTGTTCGTTAGCGACTCAAATTAGAAGAGTTCGATTACACAATCCAGTATAAAAAAGGCAAATTGAATAAAGCAGCGGATGCCCTTTCACTCAACCCCGTTGATTTAAATGCTTTAGAAACCGAATCAGTCACCAATAATCCCGGTGATATAAACGACATCAAAGAGGATTACCTAAATAATCCGGACAAAATAAAAGAAATAAGTGAGACAGAAATTGAAGAAATTCTAGGAAAGCAAAAACAAGAAAAGACTCCAAAAATTAAAATACTATCTGACCTTAGTATTATACCAATTCCGCAAGGTAAAAACTACGAATTTAGAAACAACATTGATGGAAATAATTCCCCAAAACAAGATAATAAGCTTGATATCACAATAACACCCATATAGACACCCCATCAAAAACACTCACTCTCGATAAAGAGAATCAGAAACCTTCTTGTTCAGAAACTGTTCATACATCGATCGAAAACCCAATTCTAAATATTCCAATTTCCGAAAGATCAATAAACACTTTCAAAAATCAAATTATTATCACTTTAGGTGATACAGGAAAAATGCAGTGCAAGCAAGAGAAAATTTGAGAATGGCCCTTTCCATGAAATTCTATTGGCCAAAAATGGGCGTTGATATAGAAAATTATATCAATAATTGCGAAACCTGCCTAAAGAATAAGTACAATAGAAATCCCCCAGTAATCAAATTTAATTTAACACCAACAAGTTCTAAACCGTTTGAACATGTTCACTTAGACACTTTTAAAATATCAAACGAAACTTCCTAAACTTTATAACCCATCACGGTTTACCTCTTAAAGTAACGGTAGATTCAGGAACGGAATTCAAAAATAAGGAATTCGAGGATTTTTGCAAACTATGCAAAATTGAACCTCATTATACCACTCCAAAAAATAGTAACTCTAATTCCCCTGTAGAAAGGTTTCATTCAACTTTAATTGAACACTTTAAATGTTTAAAAGAAGAGAATAAAGCTTTCTCAGCAGACCAGTTATTTAAACGTGCCGTACTCGGATATAATAACTCTATTCATAGTGTAACAAAATACACACCGTTCGAAATAATCTCGGAAATAATTTAAAGGTCATATAAACAACACCGAATCTTTTGATCTAAGCGACCGCGTGTTAATATCAAACTACGTACAGTCACATAAAGATAGTACAAAAGAGCTCTATAAGCAGATTCAAGAGAAAAATGAAAAGACCAAAGAGAAAATCATTTCAAAAATTAACGAGAATAGATCTGACCCTCCAAGTTTTGAAAATCAGAATGCAGCCTACATTAAAATAAAAGCTCGTAATAAAAATGTTCCAAAGTTTAAGAAAGTTCCAATAACTGGCCAAAATTCTCTTAAAGTTTTTACTAAAAAAGGTTCTTATCACAAAGGCACAGCGAGAAAACCAAAAATTAAAACAAAATCTTTTTTACAGGATAAGCAAGATGCAGATAACACTGCTCCTATTCCCAATAATCCCGGCCCTGTTAATTCCTAATAGTAAGGGTAATGACGTTCAAATAACGACTATCAAAAACCCTGCGCTTCCTATACAATTAGGGAATGCAAAACTTGTATATAATAAACATACATTTATCCACTACGTAGATTTAGCACCTATAATTAATCAATTAGAAAATATTCAAACTTATTTTCGAAAAATTAATAATCGTTTTAGTAAAGTAGGTAGTTGATCATTCTATATCGTATAATGGCTTATTCAAAAGTTCACTTCTACGCACTGAATATCTAATAAGTAATATTGAAAGTAAGGTACAAAATCTCTATCCTCATATTAGACAAAAAAGAGGATTAATTAATACTATTGGAAAAGCTCAAAAATGGCTATTCGGCACTTTAGATACTGATGACGAAGAACGCTACAATCATGCTATCGAAGTATTGCAGCAAAATCAAAAAAGCATTGTTAAAGAGTTGAATTTACAAATATCATTATCACATAATCTAATCAATAGTTATAACAATACTATTTTCACACTTAGTCAAAATCAACGAAAACTTGAACAAAATCTTGAGATAGTTGAACAAACTCTTGATAGTAAAATCAATAATTTGAATAATTTCATTATTCTTCAAAATGTCCTATTTCATATCAATTTAGATTGTCAAAATCTAATTAATTTTGTGGATAATCTAGAGGACGCGATATTATTTGCAAAATTAAATGCTTTGCATAACTCTATAATATCAAGCTCTGAATTGGAAGAAATGCTAGGTTATTTAAAGAATATCTACACTGAAGAGGAAGTTCCAAATTTCAAAAATATCCTGAATTATTATCAGATTCTAGGTACACAAGTTAGTTTTTCTCAATCAAAAATTATTTTTGCTATTCATGTACCTATTATGAAACCTCAAACATATTCTTTCCAACATTTATTTCCTGTAATCCAAAGAACCCACATGATCGTTCCGAAATACCCCTACATGGCACGAGCAAACAAAGAAATCCAGTTTGAAGAAAGTGATTGTCCTTCACTGGAAGAAACATACTACTGCAATGAACTTCTACACCCTCAAGATGATTGTATCATTGAAGTACTAGACGGGCAAAAAACAAATTCCTGCCAAATTCTGCAAATTCACCTACAAGAATCAATAATAGAACAAATCACAACCGAAGAAATCCTAATAATTCCACACAAAATGCAACGCATTTTAGCAAAATGCAAAATGGATCAATATATTGACCTAGAAGCAGGGGCGTAGTCACCGGTGTTCCGCGGAACACGGGCCCGGTACCTCAAGGGGCCCAGTTCTTCATGTCAAATGTCAATATTATTTTTGTCCTACTAAGTAGAAAAAAAAATATATTTTACACATTTGACGCTAATTTATATAAAAATAAAAAATAATATATCTACAGGGTGATTCCCAAATGGCGCATAAACTCTCCACTGCGTCGTAGGAGACCCTTTAGGGATTCCCAGAAAAATAGTGAAAAAAATCCTTCTCCAAGATTGGTGGTGATATGAAGGAATAAAGTTGACTTCTTTATTTCTGATTTTTTTTTGAAACTGCTATATTCTCTATAAAGCTCTTTTATTGATCTATGACAAAAAAGATCACATCAGTTACATTCTACCTTTTAAAATGAATTTTGCAAACTGTAAAATGTCTACCTAAGATGTTTGCTAATTTTACCAGTCCATGTTCTTCTAATAACTTTATTAGGAGTATCTCTATATCAGTTTAGATATTTTTCTGGGGATCCTTGAAGGATTTCCCACGACGTAGTGGAGAACTTATGGAATCCCCCTGTATATCTAAGGTGGTAGAGACTTCATTTCTTACATTTATGCAGACCTATAAATATTTCTCTTATTCTATAAGGATATTTCTGGAATGAGATTGTACATGAAATAGAAAAGTCTTGAATTTTCCGCAGAATCCAGAAATTTCTAGTCCAGGAGGCAGTGAAATTTTTTAGCACTTATTTTCCCAGTTGGGGTCTATTAAATAGTTTGTTTTCCTGGTGATACAAAGAAAGAATTTTTGAGTCTGGCTAAAATTTTCGGATGAGTTCACAAGATCAATGAAAAATACAAGTACGCTTATTTTCCCAGACATAAATTTTTCACATTTACTACAATAGAACATAGAGTATATGAAAATTGCAGTTTGGCTTATCTCAGATAGTGAAAGTGAATCTGGCCGAATTTTTGGATCTTCAATTTTCCACTTGCCAGACATATTATCCATACGCACAGATTAAGCCAGGGACACATCTATCATGCATTCTTCCGATCCGACTCCGATCATACAATCAAGATCCTTATTCTTGGAACAGGGGAGCAGCGGAACACTCGTTCCTCTGGGAACGCTGGTCCCTGTTCCAAGAATAAGGACCCTGATTGTATGATCGGAGTCGGATCGGAAGAATGTATGATAGATGTGTCCCGGGCGTTAGCCGGACTATTTTTTTACGTAACTTCAGTATACTTCTCATTAGTAGACCTATTTTTATCACTGAGAAAATAAAGGGCCGTGCATTCGTAAGCTTAAACGCATTTTGCGCCTCAGCCCATCGGAAAACCCCCCTAAAAATATGTGTATTTTGCTTAGAATTACTAACCCTACAATTCTATCCATGTTGTCTGACTGGGAAAATAAGTACCGAAAATCGTCACTGCCTCCTAGAGTAATCATAACATACACAAGTTGATAATGGTACAGCTGTTCTTGGAACAACCTGTATAGAAAAATTGGTGTTAAAAAATCTCAAGCAAAAAAACAAAATCGATGTGTCTAAGCGTTTTTCCCGAAACGGCTTCATTTATTTCATATTGAATATGTTCCATACTTAAGGTTCATCCCGAGGTTCACCCTGTATATTTCAAAAAAATATATATTTCTCTCATTTTTCAATTTTTTTAATCTCGCTGGAGTAGGGCGTAGGGGCCCGATAAAATTTTTGAACACGGGCCCGGATTATCGTCACTACGCCACTGCCTAGAAGAGCCGACATTAGTGAAAATTCCAAAAGAATGCCATATTCAAATTGGATCCAAGAAATTTACCAACAACGTAAAAATCAACCATGGTAAACCACTCATCCTACCAGAATTACCTATTCATCGCTAATTTCACAACAACAACAAAAATGCTCGAAACCCAAAATCTAAGTCAAATCAACTTTGAAGAAATCTACAAGCTAAAAGATATATAGAACTAACCCAAACCAACTATCTCCAGTTCAAGAAATCGAAAATAGATCAAGCCAATACTCTTCGATAATAATTGGAGTCCTAGCCGCCTGTCTACTGGCCATCATAATAATCGTCGTAATACTTCAAAGAAGAATTGCCATTGCCAAATACTTCAAGAAGAAGCCAAAATCCGACCGCAAGCCGACAGAAGAGGTTGCCTTAGAAAATACCCGAGATATTTTCTAACTTAAGATAGTAGGTTACATTGTAGCCACAAAGTATACCCATCACGAATCCCATGGAACCTGCTGACGCAAGATCTTTCCCATCGCCGGCACGTGGACCACCTCAGCACAAATTAAAATATAAATGTACCTTAGTTTAAGATTAATATTCATTCCATATTGTTTTGCTCTCGAGATAGCTTGTAACTTTTGAAAATAAAACTTTTTAAAAACAGACTTTTTTCGGTGATCGACGTAATTGGCGGGAGAAAATTGTTTCAACATCTCAGCAAATTACCAATAATTTCCTCTAAATTACCACTTTTTTCCTCTATTACCTTTCATTGCCTCAGGAATTACCACTCAATGCCATTCAAATTACCACTTATTACCACTTATTACCACTAATTTCCTTTAAATACCACTAATTACCACTCTCATTACCACTAATTGCCACTGAAATTACCACTAAATACCACAAATCTATTTTAATTTTCAAGTATACCTGATATTTAGAACTCAATAACATGTTGCTAAGTAGGTATATGATAATAATAACACGATGTAAATTTTTATACTTCTTTAGGGTATTGAAAAATATAATTGTGTACCTACATTAAAAAGGGGGTGTGACCCTAAAAAACGACTTAAGCTACCTAAATCAAGAAAAAAATTCTAAGATCTCTCGTGAAAACCGCAGTCCTATATTCGAAATAATCTCCGAGAAAATTCCTTATGAAGATGCAGGAACTTGTGATGTCACAACCGCCGAAATCGGAGTCTTCTGTTCGTTCAGTCGTCAGTGAACCGTACCCTATACTTTGAGTGGTTTCAATTCGCCCTAGGAGATAATTGTCTTTTGTTTTGGGAAATTTTTACACGTGCTAATACTGTCCCTGATAATCCAGTGTGACGTCACAAACACCTATTTGTAACTTTAAACCGCCCTAACTCGAAAACGGACCATCGTAGCAAAATGCGGTTTCAATATTTATTCTTAGATTTTTTTGTACTAAAACTTTCATTTTTGGGTGACACCTCCTTTAAGCTGCGTAGGTATTATTGGGGGTAAGTAGGTATTATTTTAGCGACCTTGCTTCTTCTAAAATAATATGTAATAATTGGTTAGTGGAGAAAACTTTCTTAATATCCTATTCATTACCCTATATTCCGATACCTTTAACAAAGTGGCGACAAGAAAAAAAAAATAATATCAAAGTTTGAAAAAAGTTTAGAATAAGTGCATACAAAAAAAAAAACTTTAGTCATCATTACTTTCTCTAAAAAATACTTTTTCATTCTTACTGAAATCAAATCCATGAAAAAACTGTTTTGCAATAAGAAAAATTAATAAGTAAGTAAATTATTTCATAACATTATCTCGAATAGACTTGGGAATATGAAATTTAAGGGACATTTAAAAAAAAAAATCAACATCACTTTCCAGTTTTGACAATAGTTTATCTCACTTGCACCGTGAGTTAAACAGAGGTTTAAATGTTAACAAAGGTTTTTTTTTCGTAACTGACTTGCACTGCAAGTTAATCCTTGTTTAAGTAGGTACCTCCTCGGGTACCTCTAAACTGCTGTTAAAATGAACCCCC